ACATATAACTACATATTGAACACTAATTTTTAATTCTCTATCACATATTACAGATGCATAGCTTTAATACATGTTTAAAACGTGAGTCTTAATCAAAATCTTCTATTACAGATATGTAACCAGTATTATCATTAATCATTTAAGTCATTCTTAAAATTAATACTCTTTGTAGATAATTTAATTATGTTATAAGTTATTTATAAATTTTACATATAAAAGACTTACCAGAAATAAAGTCCTCGTATGATAATGATCATTCTTAACCTAAAAAAATAACTTCCATTCATAATGTAGCTTTCAGATGATCAACATATATTTCAAAATTCTCAACATTCTTATGAATATTCGATATTGACAATATTAACAATGTATATTGATCGTTTTTATATATGATAATATTGATAGTCTTGAAATATTGATTATATTGATGCATCAAACGTTCTTTAACAGTTTTAACCAATAAAATTTTCGTCACTGTTAATACGTAACTACAAACATTATTCATACCAATTACTGTTAATTACCATCGATAATTATCATTTAAAACGATTATTAATTTTGATATATTCTTTAATCGCATCTTTAACTTTCTTCTTAACTTCTTCCAAAATTTACCAATTACACTGCATTCTATTCAAACCAATAAATAGTAGAAGAATTTTTCTCGATGTTCGTCGTGAAAAAATTGTTACAATTTAAGTTTTTAAAAAAAAATTTGCGAAGAATGATCAAAACTCGAGACAACGAGTTTTCTCTAGGGGATAATTGATTTCGTCGGCTTATCATGGATCGTACTTCCTCCGGACAAAACTGATATACGATGTTTTAACTGGCGGACCACAGTCTGGTAATTGAATTTAAAGGGCGGAAGCGAAGAAATCTGGTCCCCTTTCGTATTAACCTAATCAAGTTCAGTTGCCGGTACCGTCGGTCGTCGCGGCCACAATAGAGACATTAAATTGTTAGTACGGATTTATTAAACCCGACGCTGTTACAGCCGTGAAACTATTTAACTCTTCGAAGGTCTGCTCCGTTCCAATTACGCGCGAACGAGCATAACCGCCTACCCGATATCTCTTCTATCAATCTTATGCCGACTTTGATACCTTTCAAATTCTCCGGAAATTGGAATTAAATCTTCGCAAGTTGATTCTTCTTCCGATCTGTTTACGATCTATCTTCTATCCATAAAATTTTTTTGATTTTATGCATCTTTCGTTTGTACAAATTTTTATTAATTCTATTTTACATAATTTCCAATCTTTTTTCTATATATATATATATATATATATATATATATATATATATATATATACACATATTATCGTTATGAATTTTGCCTTAATATAAATAAAGTATCAATCATCAATTATTATTTACATATTTACTGTAAATTATTAACAATAATTGCTTTAAATACTAATTTATACCTTTTCTTTCTGTACAATATTTTACATTTTGATAACGATGTCATTATCAAAGTATTTTTTTTATCAAAAAAAATTGTTTATCAATCAACCAGTGAAATAATCTAATTCTATGATATTCAATATTTGATTTTATTATGTTATTCTCATGTGTGTTATAAGATGTGTGATGTACAAATTTCTTAAATCGTATAAAATATTGTTACACATCAATGTTTTACATATTATTTTTATGGTAACCTGTAAAATTCTCAAAATGCTATAAATTCCACGATACAATTGTTTTGCAAATTGATACAACATTGTTTCCTTTATTTTGTTAAAAAAATAATAGATATTAAAAACTGTCGATATATCCATATTCATAATCGATTCGTTATATAAACGGTGCTTTATAAGGCGATCGTTAATTAACTATGAAAACTAAAATAGAAATTGAATACATTTTATCTCTATTTCTGTGTGCATTTGTTAATTTTTTTTTTTTAACTCACAATCAAAATTAATTATACCCCTAAATTATGCGAACCTATCAATAACTTTACTTCTAACCTTATTTTCAAGCCGAAGACACTAAAGATTAAAAACGTACAGCATTACCCAACATAACATATTCGGGACGGATCGGAAAAATTCGAACGAAATCGTCAGAAATCTCGATACTCTCGTATCACTCTAGATTTCTGCGAAAGTTATGAAATCCAGGATTTGAATATAAAAAAAAAAAAAAAAAAAAGAAAGAAAAAACATATTAAAGAAATTAAATTATTATTTTATCGTTAACCCATGAACGTTATCCCCTTTTTACATATTTTCTCTTCCATACGTTCGTTCTCGAAACGATCACGTTCGACTTTTGCCGAACAGAGCCGAAATCGAGTTGTTCTTCGCATTCTTATTACCGATAAACCGAATCTGGATTTCGAAACTTTCGATAATATCGAGATATATTATAATCTCAAATCTATTTGGTTTAACAACGATTCACACGTTTTTCCAAAAAATAATTCCAAAGATACTCTTCGATATTTCTTACCAGATTACAATCATAAAATCTCATCTTCAAGACAAATGATATTTCTTCTTGCAAAGCTTTCTCAGCCTCTCGATACCCTTTGACCGATTACGCCCGTATTCGTGTTCCCACGCGTCTAACAACAAATTATAGTATCTTGATTCTTCAAAGAAAGTAAAGTATTGATACGTATCGCACGTAGGGAAGACTCTCTCGAACCGACCCGATTGAGTAATCTCATCCTCGTGTTTTATCAGCACTCTAACGTCATCCGGTGTTAAGTTCTTCAATATCGATTTCAAGTAATATTTCCTACTAGCTTTTTTCATGATAGCGTATTGCTTCTTCCTATCGTCCCACGTCAGCATATTCGAATACAGATGCCTGTTGTAACAGATTACGTGTTTCTTGTAAATCACTCTCAAAACCTTCAGTTCCTTGGGGCTCAACAGATCAGGTACGTGAAAACCGACCAAATTTAGATAATCCTTTGCCAATTGGCCTTTGATCAATTTACAGAGGGGAGTGTCAGATTCCATGGAGGGGAAATCGTTCACTTCGAGTAGCCACGGTCGATAATGTTTATCCAAGAGAACGTCGAAACCGAAAAGCTGATAGAAATTGTACGTGCTCATCGAGGTCTTCTTCCACGCTTTGTACAAGGAAGGCTCCGCGGAGATCACGGTTTTAATAGCTATGTCCTTAATCTTGGTCCAGATCTTGATGATGTCCACGTTATCGGTGGAAGCCAAGTACTTCCAAAGGCAGCTCAGCGTCCACATGTTCCCCTTGCACTGGTTCGGATCGTCGTTCGGCCTGAAGTTCGGATTGAACTTGTTCACGCTTGTGTTCGTGAGGTGCATGAACTTGTTCGACAAGGTGTTCACGTGATTCACGTATTTCTCCGTAGCTAGCCTCACCAAACCCTCCTTGTACACGTATATCCTTAGAGGATCGATGCTGGTCAACAGCACGTACAGCCTCAAGTCGAACTTGATACCGTCGATCAATCTGGGCGAGGAGATGTATCGTTGCACGACGAACGACCGATACGTGGGTATCTCGTACAAATGGGACACTATCTTGATCCCGCTTCCCGCGCAACAATCGGGCGGCTTAACGATCCAAAATCCTCCGTTCTTCTGCATAAATTTGCCCAACAGGTATCTCTCGTCGGGTAGGATGAATGTCAACGGTATGAAATCGAAATTCTTGCTACCGAACTTTCTCTTCATCCTTCGAAAATTCTTCGAGAGGGCTATCTTGTCACCCAGCTCGATGCTGCTCGGGAAATGATTCACCTTCGAGTAAATTTTCGTCCGTCTTAATCTGGAGTAAGCGGCGGTGCTACACCAGGTGCCGCACCAGTTGTCCGCGGAGCTGTTTGTCGTCTTGAATCCGGATTTCTTCGCCGTGTTGGTCACGATCCCCGTTGGATTCTTCTTGGCTTGCCACCATATCAGGTGTTTGGTGATCTCTGCGGGCAGTTTCGTGGTTTCGTTCGTGTGGAAGATGATGAATGGCGGGACGTAGGCGAACAGGCTCAATCTCATCGGTAATAAGTTTTTGTCACCGGAGCCGACATCGGGGATCGTTCGACGGATTCGATAAGGTCTGGCCTTTAACAGCGTTTCGGTGATCTCGATGTACGTGTACAGTTCGTCGTCCTCGAAATAACTGTTGTTGTACGATAATTTACTGAAGCAAGTGCTCGTGCAATCCTCGGTCATTTGTATTGTCATGTTCCAATTCGGTTTTTTCAAGTTTGTTTCGGGTTGGTTCGAGATTTTCTTAATACTGCTCGGTGGTTCTTTATCGATCGATCGAGTCGATGGATGGATCAGTTGCACTGGAAATTTTTAATTTTTTTTTTGGCCGAAAGTGGAGCGGTGGGGGTTAGTGATGAAGGTGAAATTGCAATGAAGTTTGCGCTTGCAGTCTGTGTTTGATGGCCTTTGAAGTTGGCAGAATTTTAAAGCGATTTAAAAGCAGTAGTTTGAAGTTAGAATCGAAACAATTCGTGTTTTATCGAATAACGCCATAAAATGGGAAATATATATATAGGGATGTATTTATGCGTTGTGTATTCGCCTTGAAATGCGTTTTTTAAATGTGATTGCAAATGAGCTTTCGTTACAATTGATAAGTTTTACGAATTTATAATTGTTTCGAGAGCTAAGTTCAGGGAGAATGAAAATATTCGTGACTTTCGTATAAAGGGGATCAATTTTTTAATTTATAAAAGTACACGAATGTACAACTTGTGAATAAACTTTTTTAACATTGAAATTAATTTTTCATCAAGTGCAATCTATACTGAAGACATCATCTATTCGTCTTATTAAAAATTGAACATATGTTACATATCATATATGTTTGGTATAACGTATAATAATCATTAATAATAATTTTGTGTTAAATAAAATAAAATTAAATTCGAATTGTAATGTTTTATCGTCAAATTTGTTATATATAAGAATTATCGTGGGAGGAAATGAATTTTGGAAAATTAAAAATACATATATTTCGAATCAATTCTTATTTTTTTATTTTATCGCCGAAGAATTTAAAAAAAGAAAAAAAATTACAATAATAAACGAAATAATTGACACTGTAATTTGCATGTCTTTTTCCGTAAAATTAACCTAATATTTCGAATTCGTTGTTGGTGTAAATAGATACAAATCATATTTCAAACGGAAAATAAAATAATATTGTTTGTTATGGTATTATTAAATAAATGATATTATTATTCCTTTCAATAATCATTAAAACAGTGTTCAATGGTTAACACTGGTTAATATAATGCGCAAAAATAAGGGATTCGTTCAATAATGCTAAGTAACTTTTAATTAATATCTAATATTAAATGTTTTCGCTAACACGTTCTGCCCTGTGTGAATATCTAAAATTATCGATAATAAACATAAAATAAATAATGATACCATTTATCAATTTGATTTTTCAAATAAGACGATTCGGAAAACTTAATCATTAACCTTCTATCGAATAAAAATTAAATACACTATACTATACTACAACTCAATCTTGTTTTGTAATAAAAATTAAATAAGAACCGAACGTGTTAAAAACATACTTACGTTATCGATATAATCGTTTTTCATATAAAATAATTTGACAATGATATTATTATCTCTTTATAAAATAAAAAAATTAAACAGTCCAATTTAATTCGTTAATTAATCTCATCTGATCGTGGAAAACGTCGAAAAGTTATTTTCAATCTGAGCAATGCAATTGCGATGTGCGAATATTACAAAAAAGACCATAAAAAAGTTTTACAAACCTGTATGGATCGATCTTAATCGCGTTTGGTATTGGTACATCCTTCCCGGTTAAATTGAAATTTAAAAAGCAAAAAGAAAATAAGAAAACTAGAAAAAGAAAGAAAAAAATCCATTGCGACAATTTCTATCGTTGTAAAATCAGTTTTATTAAGTCAAATAATGCCATTTACATTAAGGTAAATTTGCACAACCGTAGTAAAGGCACATGACGTAAACATCTGGTGACGTAACCTTTCTATCCAATCATTTCTATACAACAATTGTATTTCCTATACAAGTTGGTGTACGATGTATATATTACGTATATCTATATAAAAAAGGGATAGAACGAAGGACTTTGTGTTTTCTTTTTTTTCTATTTTTCTCTTTTTTCTTTCCTTTTCTGATTCATTTTTTCACGTCGCTTTATCGATTATGAGTTTAAGCTATATATATATATATATATAAAAAAAAAAAAAAAAAAAAAAACCCTTATACAGTTTAGGTCCCTAAATAAGAACACAATGTATCCCTTATTAACAGACCGGTTCCAAATGATACTTTTGCTGGCACAGTTTCTGCAATCTCATTATCCCTTCCGATCTGTTATCCGCGTATTTCACCTCCCACGCGTCAAACAACATGTTATAGTACCTTGGAACGTCAAAGTACTGCAGGTACTCGTAGCTATTGGCAGTTGGAAAGATCTTCTCGAACCTGTCCAATTGCGTCAGCTCGTCCTCGTACATGACCAATTGTCTAACGTCGTCCGGGGTCAGATTTTTGATAATGGACTCCACGTAATCCTCACGATTCCTCAAATTCATATAGATCGAATGTTTAATCCGTTCCTGGTTGTTCAACCCGAGTTTATGCAGCCTGTAATCCTGGCACACCATATCCAACTCATACTTCTCCGCTAGTTTCCTCGCTTCCTCGAACGACAACGTGTTTGGCAATTGGTATCCGGCTATGTTGAACACAGTCTTGATCAATGGACCCTTGATGGCGGTGTCGAGAGGCGAGGAGGATTGCAACGAGGGCGATATGTTCACCTCGAGCAGCCACGGTTTCAAATTCTCGTCGAGAAGGATGTCGAATCCGAACAATTCGTAGCAACAGTAACGCGATGTCGTGTTGACCCTGGTCAAAGGGGTGATGTTCGACTCGCCGGCGATCATCGTTTTCACCACTATGTCCTTCATGGTCGCCCACAATTTCGAAACGTTCACGTGCTCCTTCTCAAGGTACGACCAAAGAGTTCTTAGCGCCCATTTGTGCCCCGTGCAAGAGTCAACGCAGTCGTTGCTAGTGTAGGTGGAGTTCGTCTTGTTGATGCTGTAATTGGTCAAATGCATGAAACGGTCGCTGAGGTAGTTTATGTCGTCGTTGTATTTGACCGAGGCGAAACGGACCAAGCCGTCCGGGTAGAGGTAGATCTTCAAAGGGTTGAAACTCGTTACAAGAACGTAGAGGCGCAGATCGAACTTGGCGCCGCTTATCAGCTTAGGCCTGGACAGGTATTGTTGCACTATCACGGCCCGTTTCCTCGGTATCTGGGACCAACGGTGCACCACCTTGATGCCCGTACCCCGGGCTGAGGCGGGCGGTTTCACGATCCATTTCCCCTTGCTGCCGAACTTTTTCCAAACTTGACGGAAACAGGTGAGATCGCGGGGCAGAACGTAGGTGCGCGGAACGAAATCGAACTCCTTCACCTCGTGTTTCAACATCATCTTGCTCAGGTTCACCCAGAGACAATCCTTACGCCCTATCTGGAACGTGCCCGGAAAATGATTGATCTTCTGCGACTCCTTCACCGTCCTGAAGCACGACGACTTCATGTGCTTGCCCCAGGTGCCGCACCACTCCTGGCACCTCTTCATCAGTTGAAAACCTGAGTTGATCAAGGTACGACGTACGATTAATGGTGTGATCGTGCTGAGATGCCACTTCAGGTGTTTGGTTACTTCGTGCGGCATTATTGGCCCCTTGCAGTCGAACGACTGGAACACGATGTACGGCGCCACGTACGAGAATAAACTTCTCCTCAACGGCGCCTTGTCTTTCTTCTCGCCATTTGCAGCGGACAGCCGTTCCAGGGTCAGAACACGCTGATCGATGTCGATATACGGGGATATATCCTCGTCTTCGTCCTCATTCTGGCTCTCGAGGTCACCGTCATCGATACTGTACTCGACGCTCGCGATCTCGTGATGGTGATTGTACGCTATTACGTCCATCCTGGACAGTCTGTAACATCTGTGATGAAACATGTTTGGCTTTAGTTCGACGGATACGTGGTTCGGATTGCGCGTTTCGCGAAATTTCAGCGAATTAAACATCATTTTCTCACATTCGTGGTAGCGCGTCATTTTCGCAGCCTATCCAACCTACAAACGTCGTGTGGCTATAGCGGGATCGAGATATATCGACGATATATACGTCACGAGCGAAGATCGACAACTTCTGGTTAAATTTCCGCCGTGGATCGGATGTTGCAAACTTTCGTCCCTTTTTCCATCTTCGAAGAATGAAGGGGAACAATTTCAAAACGATCGAGTATATCGATAAATTTCCGATAAATTCGTGATTGGAATATTTTTAAATAAGTCAGCTTACAAATCAACGTGGATCGCGTACGTGATGTTAAACGTGATTTGTGCTTCGAGTTGTTTATATTATTGTAAAAATATACAAAAATATTATAAAACTATTTGCTTTTCGATAATCATTTAATAATAAGACTGAAGATTTTAAATTCAAAAGTTTTAAAATCATCGATCTATATTCTTTTATATATTCATATATATTTCTATTCGACAAGTATGTTTAAAAATCGTTTCGTTCCTATTCTCCTATCTATTAATTCGAATGAATATAACCATGCCAACAAAATTAAAAAAAATCGAAAAAAAATTTTCTTCCATATACGTACACCATCTTTACATCATCGGAACTTTTCTTGGCAGAAGAGTAGAAACTTTCTCACGAATAATCGAAGAGAAAAGTTAACGAAAGATTAAGAATAAAAAAAAAAAAAAAAAAACAGATAGAATAACGGATGCACAAATTCGTGATACGAATTTAACGAGACAGATAATGACAGGATGGAGGCTCCGTGTCGTAACAGTGAACCATATTCATCGAGAGAATAACTTTCGTGGAATACAAACCGAGCTTGGAAATCGTGTTCGATTTTCACACGATATGTAAAAATTATATATATATATATATATATTTGCCAGGATTAATAAACGATCCTTTTTCATTGAAGAGACATATCGTTATAATTCTCTTTGAACGATGGCAGCTCGTAGAAATCGATGTTTATCGATGCATTTCTGGCCTATATTTAAATACCGCCGTATTCGTGTAGATCTTATCTCGTGGAATAATCGTTTAATAATCCTTTAAATAAGATCTTTTCGTGCACGCGTTATCACGCGACTGTTTAACCAAATTTTTTATACATAATATACGTAACCTGTATCTTTCCACGTATCTATTCAAATTATGTAAAAGGCAGCTGTCAGCATCATGTAAACGGAGTTTCGGCTATCTGCAACAAAAATTATATATTCGTTTTCAATTTTTAATTTCGATCGATTGCTTTTATTATATTTCTACTACTAAAAAAATCTGTTATTTTTAAAATTTTAACAATTCAATTCAATCTTTCTAGGACGATAAATTTATTCGAAAAATTTATTATATCGAATTCCAAGTTTTAGAATAAAGATAAACGATTCGATTAATTTAAAATAGATCTTCAGGCTTAATGGATTTTCTACATAATCGAAATATGCTCTCTATATTTATCATTTGTTATCAGAAAAGAGTAGAAAATATTACAAGAAGGAAAAGCATATGATAAATGGAAAGACAATCCACATTTTTAATTAAATTTGTTAAACAGAAGTTTCTATATATGATATAACGAAATAAAAAATAAATAAGACAGGATATCTTTCATAGATACCTAGAATGATTATATTTGATCTTACAACATATCTGACGAGCATTATTACACATGAATTAGGATAATTGTTATTTGAAATAGAAATCTATTTTCATGTTCTTTATATAAGAAATATCATATACATTTCGAAGGAATTTTCTCTATAAATATCTACACATAGTCGTATTTATAAATATTCGAATACAACGTTTGGAACAAGCTTGTATGCTTAAACCACGTTTATTTGGAATAAATTAACTAGCTCGACTTGTGATTTCGTTTAAACAATCGAGTGCCCTTCGACTCAAATTTATCTTCAATCAAACTTTCAATCAACACTGCGACCGCACGTTATCCAAAATTAAGTCATAACCATCCATATTCACGAACAATTCCCTCCCTTTCAATTTCACTTCCATTTATCCCTACACCTCAAATTCGTTCCCGAACGAAATTCACGACGATCGTTCTCTCAAACTCATACTCACTCTGCGCACCAACTTTCAAACTTTATTGCCAACGTTCGGCGTTGTAAATCGTCGAGTCTCGCCGATTTCCGGTAACACCGATCCAATTACGTAAAGGAGGCGGAACATTTCGAATTGTCGCGGGAAAGCTCGAGAAAAGGAGGCGCGAGAAAAAAGTGCGAAAGCGTCTCCCTCCCTCCCTCTCCTCTCCTCTCCTCTCCCTCCTCCTCCCCTCCTCGGCCATTATTAACGGACAAAACTTCGATGATTGCTTGGGAATTCGACACGCGATCATTCGAGACGCGATCATTTCCCTCCGAAAAAAAACATCTGCCCTCCTCCTTGTTTATTATGGTTTTTAATCGGCCGCCACGTACCCGATACGTAATTTATGACGCTGTGGATCGCGCGTCGAAAGTGAATCCGGAACTCGGTGTATGTAATTGAGATAAAAGGTGGGAAGGGGAGGGGAGGGGAGGGGAGGGGAGAGGGGGAGAAGGAAGCGTCGAAACGGCGGGAAAATTGATTCGAATTGCTCTTAATACGTGTTTTGCTACACGTTGCGACTTTTAGAAAGGGGGTTATTCGTGCACTTCGTACTTTAGCCACGTTAAGCTCGATTAACGCGAAGGGTTGTAATTAGACTGTAATTTGCGTTTCGCGAAAATTTGTATATATATATATATTTTTTTTTTTTTTTGTGAAAATATATATTTTCACAGGTATTTTCGGGGTTATGTTTTTTGAGTAATGGGATTTTATAAGCGAGATAGGATTAGCTTGATCTTGATAGATATTTTCGTATCTCGTTAACGAAGTAAACGAAATCTTTTAACGATGAATGAATATTTATGATGAATATTGATTAAGTTCAATTTTCTTGGGAATAAGAAATGATCAAAATGATCGATCAAATGCATCTCTATTAAGCAAAATTCGTGCAGAGATTTTTCATTTACTTTTCGAATAAAAAAATTTCTTATTGAACTGATTGTAACTTTATCTCTTAAACAGAAAATTATGATACAATAACAATAATCTCTTGAAAATATTTATATATAATTATGAGACAAAAATAAATTTAGTAATAATGGATGCTGTAGAATCCAATTTCTTAAGAATTTAATCACCTTCTATTCTTTAAAATCTAAAGATAGATTTTTAACCTTTTTTTTTTGTTTTTTATAAAAATAAATAATTCTCTTTACTATTTCTAAATAAATAAATAAATAAAAACTACTATAATATACATAAAAACTGCGTCTTTAAAAAAAAGAAATATCTAATTTACCAATTTACATAAGATGCATAATATAACTAAGAAAACAAAATATTTCGAAGACTGTTACAAACGATAATTTACAATTTTCCACGATTCCGATCTCGTGGATCGAAACAACTGGAAGAATGTCCCAAATTACTCTCATTAATAACACGGAAGAAACGTTTAAAATTAACCTTTCGTGCATTCAATCATTCTGATCGCATCCACAACGGGAAAGAAGTGATCAAAGACGATTTGCAACGATGTTCCAAAAAACGCGAAACTCTCTTTCCGAGAGTCGAGAATTTATCTCTTGTCGATGGCCCAACCTTTTTTGGACGGGAAGAATCGGGCCTTCCCCCCTCCCCCCTTTCGATGGCCTCGCAAATTACAGGATCGGGAAATTATAGGACACCCTATATAGCAAGTTGCGAAACGATCCACGCGAAACGTTTTTTTCAGGCGGAGAGGATTGATGGGTCCACGTGTCGTGAAAGTAGCGAAGAATCAGTGATCGATCGAAATTAGGTTATCACCGGAATCGTGTATTTTTTTTTTTTTTTTTTTCCCCGCGTTTAATAATTGCCGGAATTGATTTAACATGGATCCAGAACACGAAAGATACACGTTAATATGTAATACCGTTAAAAATTTATCTTAAATGATTCCTTTTCTCGACAGGATACAATTTTAATTACGGATAAAAATGTAACGCAAGTTGATTTATATCAAGGCTTTTTGGTAGTTGGTTGCGTAGATATCGTGATATCATGTATCACGATCCGTATGTTAAAATAATTTTAATATTCAATGTTACAAACGTAATTGTATCAATGGCCAGAGTTGTTGATAATCAGGATATCGATGAAATTGAAATGATCGAAGAATTCTTAAGAAAAATAGAAAATTTCTTTATCCACAACAAATTATAACTCTGTGATTGTATATGGTAATATTTATAATATTTATGTATACTAGATAAAGATGAATATTCTTTTAAAGATATATATATATATCAATTGATTGAAGAAAAATTGAAAATCTTCAAATATATTTCTCCATACTTTTTTTTGGTGAAGGAACATAAATGTTGACAAGGACTGTTTTCCTACGAATGCTTAAACAATTAATAATCGACAATAATTCCATAAAAGTGGTTTAATTTCTTCTGCGTGTTCCTTTTCTTTTAAAAAATGTTATGTTATAAATGGCGATCGATATTTCATGTATCTTTACTTCGAAATTATAAATTAAAACGGCGTTTTTTTAATCAAGCTGTCGCTGAAATTTGTCAAAGAATTGATAACTGTGATTTAAGTGACAAATTATTCCATTAAATTTTCGCTGATCTTCTTCATATATTTTCTTCAAACTCTTATACTATCATTAAATAAGTTCAACTTCAAAATTCATTTTAATCTTAAAGAATCAATAAATAATGTTAAAAACTTATTATCCTATTTATCTACTAATTATTTATAACTCTTTTGACAAAAAAAAAAATATTGATCATCTTCCAATCAATTCTCTATTTTATAAAATTGAAATTATATGCAAACTATATTTACAATGATATTTAACATACCAAAATTTTTTTTCTTAATCAAATTAGATATTACAATATATTTCAATATGCAATTACTTCTTATTATTTGAAATAAAATTAAACTTGTTTTGAAAATAATACGAATAAGATTTTCTCGAAAGAAATCATAGATTATATCAAATCCTTTTAAATACTTTGATAATTGATAAAAATTAAAAAGAAATTAAAAATATACATTACAATAATTTCAAAGCAGTTATTATCAACTATTAATTATCTCTACTTATTGTTTTACTTTTATACTAATATAAAATTTTTTAATATCATTTTTAAAAATAATATTTTTACAATGGATCTAAAAATATTAACTTGATATAAGTAACTTGAATACTATTGAATTACAATAAAATAAATGATAAAGATGAAGGTTAGGAGTGATAAAAACCAGAATTCAAATGATTATAATTAAAACAATGTATGTTTATTAATTTCTGCATGACGTGTAATCGATTTTTAAACAAAAACACCGTATATTTCATTATGTCTAAAAAAAAAAAAAGAAATTGCCTCTTAAACATAACAAATTATAATCTATAATAATAATAATAATAATAATAATAATAATAATAATAATAATAATAATGATGAAGATAATGATAATAATAATAATAATAATAATAATAATAATAATAATAATAATCATCCTTCTACTTTATGAGAATATAGTTTATCTCAGGTACAAAAATCAAGCCCTATCACAGATGTATCACTTAAAGCTTCATCACCTATTTACAGTACAATGAGATGAGAGAAGGAAACAGGGAGATAGAAAGAGAAAGAGAAAGGAAGAGAAAGAGAGAGATATAGAAATGTAGCATCTCGAGAAAACAGTGGTCCCAATTACGATTAATTACTTAATAAAAAAAAAAAAAAACGATTACATCAATCTATAATTATCGATCGAACACCTCGAACGAGGTTCAACAATTTTCAACGTATGGAAGACAAATGATTCGTCGTTTTCTCCCCTCCCATTCGCTCCTGCCACACACAGCGAAGCTTCTTCTTAAGCTTCTTCTTCACCAGAGAGGAACGGAAGTTGAATTAGCTTGTCAAAGTTCAAAGTCTTCAAAAATTATCGAACTTCATCGAAATCACCAAGGCCTCCAAACAGCGTTCGACGACTCCATAGACTCCCCGGACGAACTCGCCACACTGACAGGGCTTTGGGGAGGCGTGTAAACGTTCTGGGGTACGTTGATCATCACGTTGGTGGTTGGACTGACGGCTGGTGTCGTCTTGCTCACAGTGTTCGCAGTGGTGGATGCGACGGTGGTGGAGGTGGTGGTGGTGGTGGTGATGGTGGTGGTGGTGTTGTTATTGTTGGTGGTCCCAAGATTGGCCGAGGATGTTCCTTCGAGTCTTCGAAGGCAACCGCCGAGGTGTCTCATCAATTGTGCACCGGCAGCAGGGTGTACGGCGGCCGCGACAGGGGTGGAAAGGAACGAGGACACTTCCTGGGCGCACTGGGTGAACCCCTCCCTGAATCTGTCCGCGTAGCTGTTCTCCGGCGTGAGGGTGAGCCTCCTGGCAGCCCTGAGCGTGTGAAGGTGGCGGACAGTGAGCTCGAGAATGTCAGCCTTCTCCAACTTGGCCACGTTCTCCCCCTCGGCCTGAAGCGCGGTCACCATCAGATCCTTAAGCTCGTCCAGGCAACGATTGATCCTTGCCCGCCTCTTCCTCTCCAGCATCGGTTTCATCACCTTTCTGTACTGGTAAGTCCTCGACACCGGCTCCTCGTACTCCATACCACTGACAGGCGTGTAGCTGGTATGCGGTGCCATCGTTTGTCAGATTACTACTCCTCCTCACTTTCCACTTGTCACAAACAAAGCCCGTGTTCTTCCAATGGGAGGAACGTATTCGAGAAACTCGAAATGTTCCAATTCGGAACGATGATAATAATAATAATAATAATAATAATGATGATGATGATAATGATGATAACTCAAAAACGCGTTGGATATGCGTTGTAAGATAGTATATATATATATATATATATATAACGTGTGTGTTCTCGGAGTGCCGAGACCAGCGCACGATGCCGTGTTCACGTCGATTCTGAGTGGCTGGTGGGGACCGAGTGGCTACTTATACTCTCGACCGCTTCCCCCCACCAACTGTCCCACCCGCTGCCCCTTCCACGCCAGTCAGGGGACTGGTGGCGGGTAGAGGGGTGTCGGGCAGGGGAGACGGAAGGGGAGGAAACGCACGAGTGAACCCTGCAGCACAGCAGCCGGAGCGTATCGTGGGAAGCTCGCGGGCCGAACAGTTCCCACAGATCTGGGGGCCTGTTGGGCCCGGCACAGGTTCCCTCCACGCGTCTTCGCGTCTCTGTGTGTGTGTGTATATACGGTACACGGTTGTTCCTGTAGGTATTTGTGTGTGAGCATGGTCGAGTGGCGCAGGGGGGCCCCTTCGTTGGTGCCGGAGAAGGCGCAGGAGAGGACCTTTTCGTGCACACCTGCACGCACTCTCGCGGGGAGGGATGGAAGGGGATTTCTCGGGTGTGCTGCCGCTCTGTCGTTGCCTCTGCTTCTCTCCTACTACTGTTTTACCCCTGCGCTACACCCGTGGCCCCTGGCCCATCGTGTCAAAAGCGGGTGCAGGGGAGTCAAGATCAGGGGAAAAAAGAAGCGGCGAGCACACGCCATGACGCGCGACCAGCACGAGGACGACCCGCGCGATCCGCTCAACCGATCCGAACCGATCTCTCTCTCTCCTTCTTCTTCTTCTCCTTCTTCTTCTTCTTCTTGGCTCTCTTCGCTGCTTCTCTCGTTCGTCGCTTTTGTTCGAGCCTATGCTCGAGGCGAGTCGAAGTCGAGAACGATATTGTTTCGCTGATTCTATCATACGATATATATTGTTCGAGAATGATCTTTTTGGAACGTGAATAGTAAATATAATATATATAAATTAAACGATTAATTTAAGAAGTTTTTTTATCAAGATCAAAATAATAATAGCAAATAATGGACAATTTATGAAGTGAAAAATAAATCATTGAATTGCAAATAAATTTATTTTTCGTATGAAATATATGTATTGCATAATAAAGATAATTTAAAGAGTTAAATATAATTGTAAAATTGAAAAAACAATATAAAAAATATTTTTCCTGTCATAAAATATTGCTTTTTTGTATAATTATCAAAATGAATATTTTCTTTTACATTTTTTCAAAGATTTTTATATTTTTGCTTCGATTCTAACATTGATCAATGAATCTTCCCGAGTGTAACGTAATCAAGTAATCGCACTGTAATCAATATGTCTTTTTTTATTCATCGAATCAACATTTTAAATTGTCAATTAATCGATTTATTTTTTTTAAATTCGTCTCTCATGAAAACATTCTCTTATACGTGTCTCATTTATGCACATCACAGAATAAGAAAAAGTTGCGAAATATTTTTTCCTCCTCGCTTTTGAACCAGATAAACAGCGTGTACTTATATTAAAAGGGAATCGTGCATCTGTATCTGTGCAAATCGTAAACATCGTGTCGATCGTTCTTTAACATTTTGTCTCCTTTTAACATTTTTATCGACAGAGAAACGATGACGATTGATCATTTACCATTCGAGTAATAGACATATTATTCGATTTGATGATCAATAAGTTGACATTGAGTGAAATTTTTTTAAATAAATTAATATTCCAAAATAATCGTCACTGATCGAGAAGAAGAGAAATGTTGGCCAACATTTTTTGACTTTCACGAAAACACTTTCGCCCCGGGGACATCAATTAAAAAAATTTTCATATCTTTGCCACGCATCGATCAACGAATAATCCATTTTCTTTGACAGCAATTCCATGTGATAATTAACTCGTCAAATAACATCGAGACGAAGAGATATTACGATCCAATATGTGAAACATATATTCATTTTTATTAATTTAAGCATTCATACATAATGTTCGAAGGAAGAGGCGGATTCTACCATTTTTGGATTCTCAGAATTAATTTCTCGTTACTTATATCAATATTTATATACAAATTTTATGATAAACACGCGTTATAACACGAATATTATTAAAATCATGTTATTCACGAATTTATTTCATATTATTTCCAATTCCAAAGAAATCGTAAAAATAATCTCAAACAGAAGCAATTATAATGCAATACATATTTATTCTACATATATAAACTAGACGATCCTCCTTAAATGAAATTTTTTTCAAATTTTTTTCAAAAATAAATATTTATCTAAATAACTAATATTTAGATAAATATTATTTCGACACAATCTCGACACATCGTTCCAAATCGAAGATCCTCGTTTCGAATCATGCAACGACAAAAGGATTAACGAGCCAAGAAGATGGCAGAAACTTCTCACACAACCTTTTATTCGCCTAACCTAACCTGCCAACGTTACAATCTCCCCATGATGCAACCCATCAGAGATCACCATTCTCGTCATCGTGGACGACGTGGACGTGCGGTGCAATAGCACGCGGCACTTGTCGGCACGCTAGACACTCGTATCGACATCGAATTTTCGATAAGAAACGAGTTCTCCCCGAGGGACGGTTTATTTTTTTTTTTTTTTTTTCCTTTTTGCGCGCGCCAGCTAAGCGGATGATGGTCCGCGCTCGCTTTGACCGGTTTATCGGAATCCAACCGGCTCGTTGCGTCGCTAGAGAGGAGCCACGACACTTGTTGATTCACTGGAATACCACCGACAAGGAGCACGTGTCGCCACCACTCTTGAGCGCCCCGCCGCCTCCGCTGAATCACGACTTGGCGAACTGGTCGAGCGTTTGCTGGACCAGTTTCTAATTCTCCCCGATGTTGAACAATTGAAAAACAGCGGCGCGATCGATCTTTCGATTTGAAGCTCTCGTGGCACAGGAAATATTTGGCACAGTTTGAGTAGATTTTTGTCGATCGATCGATCGAAAGATTTTGGAGGTTAGGTTAACATGGAAGGTGTGTGGGATAATTGAAATGATTGGTCGAGTGAAATATTCGACGCGTATTTTGAATTTTAGAATTGTAGTAGGTGTAGTGGAATAATTGAAATAACTTTCTTTGAATTTACTAGCTGAATGAAATATTTGACACGAGGTATTTCGAGCTTTCGTGTAATCGATGAGTCACAGTTAATCTAAAAGAAGATTAGATTGTTCGTACGTCCAGTTTTCTTTAATAATCTTGTGTCTTTATCTTTATTCGTAGCAAACGAATAATCGCTAAATATAATTATTCCAATATATTAACTTTATATAAAAATTTAACTTTGAACAAAAATTATTATTTCAAGTATTTCATTATTCAAATATTACGTAATATTTCGAATAACAAAAATAATTCAAATAATTAATACCAATCTATCTATCCAAAATTCTCTATGAGAAATAAAGAAAAAAATGAATTTATTTTTGTGATTTACAATTCCAATTCCAATTATTCTCCTCCTTTTGCCACTCATCAGAAGACCAGTTCGACGTTAGAAAAGGGTTCGAGCAACCGGTTTCCAGATTGCTGAGATCGGACTCGGCAGTCGATTTTTCGAATTAAGCGTGCGATCTTAATGACCGACAGCCCGTCCCTGGCGCAGGCCGCTTGGACAGGTTTCGCTTGCGGGACATAACGAGGTGTTTAGCCCTTTTAGAAAGGCCAAACACGAGTGGGTTGGCCGGGTATTTACAAAGCTTTCCCTCTAAACTGGAAAACCTGATCGAAAACTATGATATATATTTTTTCCATTTTGTGAATTTGTTTCTGTTCTGGATATAGATGGACGTTAAAGAACAGATGCGAAGAATACATCCATTTTATCAGTTTTTGAATAATTATACGTGATGTATAATTGAGAAAAATTTTAGGATACATTATCGAAAACAAATGATTCGTTATATATCTTATTTCTCTTGATTCTGATCGTTTAATAAATTTCTTATTTTAAATAATGTTTACATCATTTCTTTAATTTTTTGATCTATTGTGGTTATATTAGCAAGATTTAGATCTCACTTAGAAATGAAACAAAGAGATTCTATGTTACGAAACTTGATTCAAAGTTAAGAAATACAGATAGGAATTATATTTAGATCTAAATATTAGAAAAGTGGTTTTAGGAAACGGAAATTCCAAAGTAGAAATTCCACGTAAATGAAGCAACAAATAAAATAAGAAACATCAAAATACTTTAAGTATCGTTATACTATAATTAAACTAAGAATATTATCTATACCAAATAAGATTATTTAAAGATTAACAACAAGTTAAAACAACAAATAAAAATTAATTCCATAAAAAGTAAAATAAAATTGAATTAAAATAAGAATAACAAATAACTTAACTGCCTGGAAAAAAAATATATAAAACTTTTTCAAAAATTCATTACCTTTCGTGTGCTTTCCTTATTAGGCTCTCACTCACGATATCAAAAAAAGAAAGAAACAAAACAATAAAAAGAAATATATATATATGCAACTAAAAGAAAAATATATGTAATTACAAATAGCAAAATACACACATATCACTTCATATATTCTGACACTTTGACAAATAATAAGAGAAACACACCTAAGTCTAAGTGCCTCTATCTCGCACTCTATTATCTATGACACGCGGCGTGTTCGATACAATTGTGCCGGACTCGGCACAATATATTTTCGCGTTCGTTTTGGCATTGTGCCGGAATTCTCGGTTACGCTGAAATAATTTCGTCAGCCGCGGTACCGATGTGTCATCTATTTTATTATTAATGCGCCCGCATCAATGGCCGACTCCGATCATCGTTGTTAAATTTAATTTTAAATCGTACGAGATCCTTCTCAATTTGGCGATTATATTATATGCTTTTATTAATCGAGGGTCGATGATTCATTTGATATTTTTAAATAACACGCCGCAACGTGAAACAATAGCTTGTATAATAATCTCTTTATTTATGGACCCATGTGTTTTAATAAGGCTATAAAACGATCGAATACGATCGATTTAAGAATAACTTAAAAATTAAAGGATCGAATTATCGTTTATTTATTTTATTGGATATGAGAAATAATTGTTAATAATGTTAGAAGATAATTGTTGTAGTAATTACCAAATTGTTCGAATTAAAAAGAAATATGATTAACTCTTGTAAATTCGAATAATTTATTTCCATATAATTCCTCGTGTCATCCTTGCTCCCCATATTATTGATATTACTCTTTTCTTAAATATCAAGTACTACGATAAATATTTTGTTACCCAAAGATCATTTATCATATTTATCATTATCATTAGACTTAAAAAAAAATTAAAAATTTCATCGATATATCCTCATATATTCCCATCTCGTTCAACATACAATCCATATCGTCAACGATAGCACGAAATCCTTCCAATGGAACTACAGTTACGTCAATTTGCACAACGAGTCCCGGGCTATAGGATCGCGAAACAGGTGCACGTGTCATCATTAATTTCCTCGTGACAGAACGATCCCGCTGAGGAGAGAGAGAGAGAAAGAGAAAAAGAACACTGTACTAACCTTTTAAAGGCTTTAAACGTTTCCATCGCGATGAAACGTGATTTTTTTTTTTTTTTTTTTTTTTTTTCCTCTCCAAACCGATTGATATAATGTTTCCAACGTTGAGGACGAGGCATTAGCATGAATGCAGGCACGCCACTAAAAAGAGAGAGATACCGGTAGGATAATTACACTGATTGGTCGTCCGAGCCGGATATGGTGGATGTTCTCCCTCTCTCTCTCTCTCATTTTCGCGCGCGCGCGCGCACGCGACCGTGTGCCTGTTAAGTTGAACGAAACGAGTGTTATCCGCGATGGCATGCCGCTATCATCGGGACATCGGCTCTACGTTGTTATTAATCGTATTAACAACCCTGCTATCATACTATCTTGACCACCGATCGGATATGTATAGTTGCTCGTCGCTGATTTTAAACATGATCTTTTTGAGTTTTATGATCGAATAGATTTGTAATTTTGCGTAATGGGCGTAGAGATATATTGCAGACTTGAGATATCAATTGACTTTTCTTTTTTTGGCGTTGATAACTAGAGAGGATATTCCTAGATAGACCTCGCGTCTTATGGAATTTATATTTTTTTTCATATAAAGTGGGAGCTATTCTAAAGGCCAAAAGAAATACAAAAATATCTCTTATTTATCGGAATTATTAATAAGAAATTTATGTTCGATGGAGAAAGAGAAAGAGTGAAAAAGAATTATTTTCTCTAATTATCTTCTAAAAAAATAGAGGAAAAAATAAAACTCTACCCTAACCTCAAAACTACTACTACAATTACCATTCCAAATTCGCACAACCGAGAATCGCACAGATCCAAAGAAAGAAATACGGGCAGAACAAGTAGAAAAGTTATGCCTATAGAAGAAAAATTACCTGAACGGGGCAATCAATATCGTCCAACGAAGCGAGTCCAAGGCATCGAACGGAGTCGCCCCATGTTTACCGAAAAATCGTGAACGGCGCAGATCGAAGCGTCTTATTCCTTCTCCCTCTTCCGATCCAAGCCTTGTGTAAGCTTTGCTTACTACAAACCGGTAGTAGTATACGGTAACCGAGACAATCAGGCCGGTGTAACGCGGAATCACGGTAGAGAAGGTGTAAGGAGAAGGCCGCACCACCGGAGTAGCACAGCCGCACCACCATCAGTTCACCGACGCCTAATTCGGAACGTGCTGGTATACGAAACGCTTCCGCACTGCGTTCATCGTCTCCCTCTTCTCCATCCTCGCCGCGAAAACGGTTGTATATAGCTCCGTCTCGCTCCCATCCGCGCGGCAAACCGTGCTCGAACCCCGTACACGAGGTTCAGATTCTCCGTCCTCGTCCAGCCAAGCAGGATGGGTGTACAGCCACCGAAATTCCTCCGCACACTCGTACACCGTTGGCTCGTGCTACGAGAAACGTGGGAAGATTCTCAGGCCCGAAGGAAGCCTGAACACGTCCCCACCACGTGCAAGGGGAACACGCGTTCGTAACCGTCTGCGTGGCCTTTGTGTGCATGCGCGGCCGTGTGTTGCACGTTAACGGTGTGGCGCACGTACACGCGTGCCCTCTTCGGTGTGCGCGCGTGTATGAGAACACGGTGAGAGGCAATGCGTGCTCCGTCTCGCTCGCTCTCCCACCACCGATCGTGCATTGTGCACCCAGCCGTGAGTCCTCTTTGTGCCGGTAGAAGAGGAACCAACCTGGCCGGTAATGTAACCTTAGCGTGGCCCCATTGCCGCTTGTTGTGCGCATAATACGACGCTATTGTACCGAGCACGGGCCATATTGTTGGCCACATCTTCTCGGCCGGCACCCTACTGCCGCGCCAAATATCCCCTTTCCTTCGCTTTTCTTGCCTACTTCTTCGTTTTGCCGAGGTTCTGTCTCTCTGTTGCGCTCTTGTCTTCGTCGATTTCGAGTCTGGCGAGGGGAGATGATTATGTAGGGGTTGAACATTATGAGGGTTCGTAGGCTCGTATAGTGTGCGCAGCAAGGCTTTTGTTCTTGTTGCTTTTTGGTGTCGCGTTGTTGACACGGCTTGGATTAGGGTGAGATGATATTTTCGTAATTGGATGGGAAAGTAATTTCGATGACTTTGTTTGGACGTACTATGTCCAGGCATAGAAGTCTTCGTTCAATTTGTTTTTTAGTGATCAACTTATTTTTCTAATAAGATTTCTTGTGAATAGTCTGCTGTAGAAAATATCTCTAGGCAAAATTATATTTAAAAGAGAATTGGTTTCTTTTCTCAAACAAATTATAATTTGTTACTTCGATTCAACAATAAACAAAGGATATTCGAACTTTTTTTAAATTAAAAAATTTCGTACGAAATTCACACTACAAATTTTTCCAGAAAATTGAAAAATATTGGACATTACATGTTTTATGTAAAAATATTTTCAACAAAATAAGTCACTTCATAATAATAATTATTTCAAGATTATACATCCCACTTAATCACCGTTAACACATTGTAGATTGACATTCGCAATGAACCGCAAAAAAATCTAAAGCAACCGTAACGAATCCACTTAACCCATTGCATCGGCCGACCTAACCCTTTCCATGTTCAGCTAGTCGATAACAATCGCACGCTTCCATCCAAGCATAGCCCGAGTGACCCATTTACCGTGACGCCTATAGGCGTTCACAGCACGCTATCCGCATTTAGCAGACGAATTCTCCGTGGCAAAAAGTGCACGTAGAGTGAAATCAAATCCTACAGTTGGATGTCGATATCGCCCATTAAACTTTCTCTCTGGATTATTGGATTTTTAACAAATCAACGTGATAAATGCATATTGTTAGAAAATATGTACGTATTAAAATTCTTTATTTTTCCGAATTTATACGAACAAACCGTTTAAAACTTAATGTTGCACGATATAATATTTTAACAAAACATTCAAATTTTAGCGATAAAAAGAATTTTTTCCTCACTCTGGTCTGTTGCAGCATTTTTGTAACAGACTGTACACACGTATTTGTACTTTAATTTTCTTCTTTTCAGAAATATTAATATTTAAATGCTGTAGTAGTAATATTTAAAAGTAAAATTACATGTAGTACATCCTATTTGACAAGTTTTTCTTTAATGAACAGTTCTTATATGTGTTTACACGATACGCAGGGAAATAATTTACACGTTTATGGACGTATTGCAAATTTTGCAGATCGGCTAAATCGTTAAAAAGATTCAATTACTTTCGTTCGACATCGCGACAAGAACTGGTAAGTAATTATGTATGAATTAAAATAACCAACAAGAGCGTTTAATCGGAAATGTTTCATGCTTCGAATATTTACGAACAAATATTTATGTATCCGGATTATCCAACTGTCTCGAATCTGGCACGAATACCAACTTAACTAAGATTAATAAATATAATGAAAAAATATTCTTTATTATTGTATGCCAGTATTAATACGATTTCCTTCTCTCTCTCTCTCTCTCTCTCTCTCTCTCTCTCTCTTTCTATCAATCCTGCAATTAAAATAAATTCAAGTCGAAGTGACGATCGATTTTACTTCTTCTGCAGATATCCTTGGGAATTTGAATAGCTATATTAATCTGCAATCCGTATTGGAGTGATTTCCGTGGGCAAAAATTCGAGCTTTTTTTACGACGTACACTTAAATAGCAACAGGGATTAACGGAGAAGCGTGAAAACCGATTATCAAACATTATCAAACATCGTTAAACATCGTCAAACATCATCAATACACGTCGAAAATGATTAAAGAAAAGTTTGAAAAATTCTGACGATGGATTCTATATCCCGAATACACAACAATCCTGATGTTATGCACGAGAGCAAGAAAATCAACCATTTCCACGAAGATCTTTCGTTCCTTCACGAAGGAATTTTCGCTTTTTTTTCCCCCTTTCTTTCTCTCTTATTTCTCGACCGCCTCGTTTTTTCCCCCTCTCCCTCCGACTTCATTATCGGTATTGGATTAATGGCCGATTCTGGTAGCGGGGATCAGGTATTTCTGACTCGTTTGCGCGATGAATAATCGGGCATTAAGTCGAACGGATTCTTCTTCCTACTTCGAACGGCCACGGAGGCGGTCTTTTTAATCGACTTCACGTTAACGCCGCGATCGCGTAGCAGCAACACCTGTGAAAGCAAAAAGTGGCGGCGCTGTTACTTCTTCACACCGTTAATGGATGTTTATTTTCAAGCCGCGATACCTTTCCCGCTCCGATCGAGGCGGGAGGATAAGGATTCGACGGTCAACGTCCATCGGCCTCGATATGGATAAATATTCGTTCGACGGCCGTTTAGATCGTGAGATCTTGGATCTGGTCCACCGATCCGTGATCGAGATGATCGAGATCATCCTTTTATTTCTTGTTTTCGATGGATTGAAGAGAGGTTTATTCTTCGACGATGGATTTTAATGTTGGTATTATTATATGGGGCGTTATTATGGTGAATATTTATTTATCATACGATCATGTATGTAACGGCAAATAGCAATTTTGAATAAAATTACGATAAAAATTACGATTAATCGAAATTTCGAGAGAAATATTTTTGAATTTAAACTTCTTTCTCATCAATCTTCTTCGGAATGTTTAAAAAAATTAAGAATATTTTACGATACTTGATATACAATGAAATCTGTTTTACTAATCTGTTGAAATAAATCTAAGCGATCTATTACCAAGAACTTATCTACTAAAATAAACTGAATACATTATATAACGTGTCGCACATGTGCGACATTGTTCTACTGTTAAAACAGCCGAGACGTACGCTTCATTTATTTTTGTAATCAGAAAATGGTAAACGCATATGTGACATAAGTTGTGTATGTTACAACAAAAATCTAATGCGTCAATCACACAATCACTGTGTTTTAACATTTAACAAAAAAAGTGACATACATTTCGTCAAATTTTACCAAATTAAATTTTATAAAGAAAACTACTCTATTTGAATATACAACAAAACTTAGAACGCGCAAAGTAAAGCAAATCGCTTTCATTTCTTGAAATAAAAATCTATAATCTATTCATGTTCAAATAATTTTATATATATATATAAAAATTGAAACCAATGTAATTCACGATTTAATGGATTAACATATTCGAAGTGGATATCCAACGATACCTTCACCCGCAAATGGGCATCTGTTACATGCCATTCCATCTCCACTCGTCTTAAAACGTCCCTTAATAGCGGAACCATGGCTCCTTTGATGTCGTCCGCGATCGGACGACAACCCAGAGATTTTTTTTTATTCGTCGAACCGGTCGACTTCCGCGGGAACGAAGCGCTCTCTCTCTCTCTCTCTCTCTCTCTCTCTCTCCCTCCCTATCTCGATTTAATTATCAAAAGCCACCGATTTCGACGTTGCAGTCAAATTCACTTGCTCCGACCATGCGTGTGACTTTCACCTTTCGATCCTTTCGAGATTGAGAGGTAAGATCGATTTTTAAGAAGCTTGCGTAACGCGTGCACGCACGGGCGAAACACGGGCAGAACTTTGTCGCACGAATTAGTCATGGATCGAGAAGAGCGGGAAGGAAAATCTTTAAACCTTTCGCGTGCGCATGCGCGGTATGAGGTTAGAGAGGCAACATGGCGGCGTAAAATTTGAAGGATAAAGTGTTAAAGTGGATACTTTTACGTTAAAGTTGTTGAAAATTGAGGAAGAGAGGAAGATTTAAGAAGATTCTGTATATTATGATCGTTTCTGTATATAATTGCAGAATGTTGCCTCGTTGATCGTTTGTTTCGAAGAGTTTTTAATATGAAAGAATTAAATATACCGAGATATCGAATAATTTTATCAATATTTAAACACGATTATTTTATTTATTTACTTAATTTCTTTATTTTGACTTTGTTGAATTCTCTCGAAAAGCTTCGTAATTTCATTAATAATTTGTTAATTACCCTTCCCTTTTTCAAATATCTTCAATACTTTTGTATTTATATCCGAAAAAAAAATAAATGAATTATTTCAATCAACTACTTAATAATAAGTAGACCATCAACAAATATTTCCAATAAAAAATTCTGAAAAAAAAAAAATACTTCTTGTAAAATTCTGAAAGAACTACTTCTTGCCCAACTTCGAGGATGCAATAATAAAATTTCTTATATATTTTCCAGCGTTCAAAAGTAGCCCGAAAGCGTCCGAAAGCCATTTTGTTTCGAAACGGGTTGAAACCGTATATTTTATTCAATTGTAATTGAACAGGTTGGCAAGAAAGAACCGCAAACAGCAGACGGCATCACGCGAGGCCCTTCGTTCCGATAAAAATGACCGCGTGACCTGTTTAGCTCGGCTCGATTACCGGTGTGCGATCCATCACACCTGGCTATCAGAATCGTATCAGAGGCGACAGGGTGGCGAAGAATCGGCCAATCATT